GCAGGAACTCCACAATATTGTGAAGAACATGAGAAGCAATGCTGCACCAGGACCTGATGGATTAAATGCTGGTTTTTACAAGTCGGCGTGGGCTTGGATAGGTAAAGATGTTTCAAATGTTGTTACCACATTTTATCAGTCTGCTTCTATGGCCCCTGGAATAAATAGTACTCACATTGCTCTTATTCCTAAGGTTAATGCTCCTGTCACTCCTAAGGATTTTAGACCCATCAGTTTATGTAATGTGATTTATAAGATCATTGCTAAATCTTTAGCTGACAGAATTAAACACCACCTACCCCATATTATTCATCCTTCACAAGCTGCTTTTGTACAGGGTAGGCACATTGCTTCAAACATTATAATTGCTCCAGAAATCATTCATAGCTTTAATCTTAAAAGTTGGAAACAAAAAGCTTTTTTCCTCAAACTCGACTTAGCAAAAGCTTTTGACAAAATTGAATGGCACTTTATTGTTAATGCACTTAAAAGACATGGCTTCCATGATCATTTTATTGATTTGATTCACAATTGCATTTCTACTACGAGTCTTTCTGTGCTTATTAATGGTGATCCCACCCCAACTTTCTATCCTCAACGTGGTATTAGACAAGGCTGTCCTCTCTCACCATGTGTTTTTATTATTGCTGTCAATGAGCTCTCAATGTGTCTGCAGCATCACTCAAGCAATCACAATATACAAGGTATCACTCTTGGTCCTGACTGTCCTCGCATACATGCACTGCTTTTTGCTGATGACTTGATTATATATGGGCAAGCTACTGCTGAGGAAGCTAAGCGAATTTCAATTCTTCAATCCTTCTGTAATGCCTCAGGTCAAACGCCTAACCTTTCCAAATCCTCCATCACTTTTAGCAAATGTGTTGATAACCTGAGCAAAAGAGAGGTCAAAGCTATTTTTCCAGTTCCTGACCTTGCACCTAATGCTATCTACCTTGGTCACCCTCTTATTTTCAACCATAATGACAGAACCAAAGCCTATGAGTTCATCCTCCAGAAATTCAGGGCGAAATTAACCACCATCAAAGCCAACAAGCTCAACCATGCTGGCCGCCTTGTATACATTAATTCTGTACTAGCTTCGATCCCTATTTACTACATGTCCACCATTCTGTTCTCCAAAATCTTCATCTCCAAGATAACTACTATTATCAGAAACTTTTGGTGGACAGGAGTGAAGGAGGACAACTCCACCACCTCTTTTCATTTCAGGTCTTGGAAGGATATCTGCAGACCTAAGAAGGAAGGTGGATTAGGTGTGAGAGACCTGCTTACAGTTAATCGCAGCCTTATTGTCCATGCTGCTTGGAATGTTGCTACGGGTAAGAATTCCTTCCTTTCTGCTGTACTCAAAGCTAAATATTTTCATAACACAAGCTTCTGGTTAGCAAGGAACACCACTACCAAATCGGTTTTCGGGTATTCCATTCTCCAAGTTAAAAATATTCTGATTGAGAATTGCATTGTCCAAATTCACAATGGTCAATCCAGTATCTGGTCCACTCCTTGGTGCCCCATCTGGCAGCAAATTCACAATCACATTAAACTTCCTATTTCAGTTCCCAGCATGCCACAAAATATCTCTGATCTCTGGAACCCTGCAACTCATCTTTGGGACAATGACTTCATTTCTCAAATCTTTGACCGTCAAGCAACCACTGCTATCTGCAATATCCATACAGTCCCCTCTGATGGTCCTGACATCATCACCTGGAAACCTGCTGCGAAAGGTGTTTGCTCTGCTAAAGAAGCTTTCAGGTTTCTTAATTCTCAAGTGCAGGTTCAGAACACTAGTCAAGGCTCAAGAAGTATCAGCAACCAAGCAATGGACATATTGAGAAGAACTTGGGCCCACAAACTCCTTCCTCCGAACATCAAAACTTTCGTTTGGAGGGTCATCAGAAGAGCTCTTGCCACCGGCCGGTGTGCGAGCTGGCAATCTGTCTACCAGGATAAGCAAACACTGCACCACTTGCAACTTGCTTGAGAATGATGCACATTTATTCTTTCACTGTCAGTTTGCTAGAGCGGTTTGGTTTTCTTCCAAAACCCCTCTACGAACTTCTCTGTTGCCTTTTGAGCAGGATGGTGTGCAGGATATCCTTTCCAATATCATCAAGAGAAACACTTCAGAAGCTGATCTCCAAAGAATAATGACCACACTTTGGTACCCATGGAAGGCGAGGAATGACTTGCGCTTTCAAAGGAAAAAATGGTCTGTTTTGCAGGTGCACCATGCGGTGGAGGCGGACATCAATGTCTCTACTGTTGACTTGCAACCAAGTAGTCAGAAGGCAAATGTGGAGGCTGCTCTAACCAATCACACCCACAGTACCCGACGTGAAGGAATGTTCTCATTTGCAGGTCAACATACAAGTGAAGATGATCGCCAGCTGATTTCACAACCAAATCAGGCCAATTTGGCCCCCTCTACTAATTCTTTCATTTTGCAGTTTACCTAGCTTGATTCCAGGACCAAGATGCTACTTAGATGCTTCCATAGCACCTGATAGCATCAACAACATTGAGAGATCAGCTGGATTAGGAATTTTCTTCCTAGATCCAAGTCATCACATGAAATGCTACATAAAAGCAAAAGCTGCGCATATCAGTTCTGTTCTCATGGCAGAATCTGCTGGTATGGCGCTTGCTGCTGAGATAAGCTCATTGCTTGGCATCAGTGACATATCTTTTCTCACTGATAGTCAACTTCTTGCAAGTTTCTTCAATGAATCTGATTTTGTCTCGCCTCCACGGTGGGATATCAAGCCTTACACCCAGAAGTTTCTGAATGCAACTGCCAACTACAATTGGAAAGTTCTCAAAGTCCAAAGAGACCTCAATGTAACTGCTCATGTATTAGCTAATCAGGCCTTTAGGAGCTTGTCGACCAATTGTAACATTGGAAACTTCTCGTGTACCAATGTCACTCATGTAGCCAGCTGCCCTCTTCGTGAGGCACTGCAGTTTGTAAATTGGGAGTCCTACTCCCTGATAGCAGCCGCTTGCTGTTAATAATAAAGGTTGTTTCTTGTAAAAAAAAATAGGAGGGATTTTCCTAGTATAAATAAACCATGCAATGCATCATTTGAATAGAGTTGATATTGATATAGAGAATTGAGCATGGCTCTTCTTTGAAAAACCCGTAGAGTAATCTCCGGTGCTAGTTGATCTTATTGAGTGATCTCCGAGTGATTCTAGTTTTATCCAATTCACCTCCACATACCCTTCAGCGAGTCAATCCTTATCATCATCTCTCCCTTTCCCTCTCCCAAAATCACGGCGTGCTAGCCAGGCCCCAGCGGCACCGCCTCCGCGCGAGGCGCTGGCAGGACGACGGCGTCCTAGGGTGTGGCACAGCGCCGCCCGTGGGTCCCGGCATTGGTCGTCCCCGGCCACGGCGCGGCGCGAGTTTGCATAATGAACCGAACAGACGACCTGTTGGCGAGAGCTCAGCCTTTCGTCGTGTTTCTAGACTTTGCTTGGGTTGGATACCGGGCCCGTTTCGCGCAAACCGGAACCGATTGATATGTCGCTTCAGCGCGCCGCCACTCCCGTTGCCTTCGCCACTCCCCTTTTCGCGGAGGGCAACGCGCTTGAGGGACCCGCGAAAATGCGGCGACGAAATCCGGACTCTCGTTTATTTTTGTTTTTTTAATGGAGGGAGATGTGGCCATGTGGAGAGGCAAACCCAAGTGCAACCAAATGTTCGGCATGGGGCAGAGATGGTTAGTGGAGTATGTTTAAAAACCCGAAAGGTTGTCGGACTCTCGCTTATTTTTGTTTTTTTTAATGCGCAAGATAGTGAGATGTGGCCATGTGGACAGCCTCGCAACATGATCAAGGAGGCAACCACCAACTTGCTCGGCTTTAGTCTCGGCAGGGGCTGAGGCACACCCACCGGACTAAAGGGGGGAGGAAGAAAGAAGTGAGGAGATGGAGAGAGATAGAGAGACCTTGACTCGGTTGGAGCCACCAACCGGGACTAAAGTCCTCAACCTTTAGCCTCGATTGGTAACACCAAGCCGGACTAAAGACCCTTTAGTCGGGGCATGGACTAAAGGTCCCCGCCAAAGGAAGCACCATCCATTGTCGAGATGTGTTGTAGGTGGGGTGGTAAGCTACTGCAGGCAATGCATCGTCTTGGGCGAATCACGGGGACGCGCGGTGGGAGGTATTATTTTTTTAAAGTGGGAGGACCTTCCTTCGTTGGTGTTACCATGGGACGCGGCGACGAGGACTAAAGGACCCCCTTTAGTCCCCGGATGCTTCAAGGACGGGACTAGAGGTGGTTCCCACCCGGAGTAAAGCCCGTCTCTGTATTAGTGGGCGGCGTCAAATGGGTTATATTTGAAAATAAAAAAAGGAACTGTGTTAATTTTTAAAATTGTTTAAGAAAAGGTTAACAATAAAAAATTCAACCAAGGGAGATGGGCGATTACAACTTAGCTTTTACAAGATTATTTATGGCAGTATAATTTTGTGGACAATGATATTTTTTTACGGTACCAAACATATATCAAGTTCACACATACACAAAATTATGCTTTTGGTACTATCCACAAAATTGTACTGTCCTAATTAAACCGTGCAAAAAAAAATTGTACTACCAAAAATATTCATGGTCCAAAAAAATGTACTGTCAAAAAAATGTTTTTTTCAATATAAGAAAATGGTACTATAAAAAAAAACCTGTGCAATAAAATATATTTTTTAGAAAGTATCGCCCTTTGTTAACTCATAATAGAGTTACAAACACCGTCAACAAAAACGAGCCTCAGTTAACATACTGATGTTTAAACGGGCCTCAGTTGGCAAGCCCATTTCCATAAAGCCCAATCAGGGAAGAGAGCCGATTGCATTGCAATGCCACTACTGGCCTGCGGGCCCCAGAAAAGCAGGGCTCTCTCTTTCTGAGCACATCGATCCCGGCTTCCCGACTGCAGAGGAGAGAGATCTAGAGCGAGCGAGGGAGAGAGATGGGCGACGAGGCTGCGGCGGCGGGGTCGTCGGTGCTCGGCCGCGCGGTGGAGGAGGTGCGCTCGGCCCTCAACGAGCACGCCGACGTGGTCGCCGACCTCTTCGATCGCGTCTCCTCCGAGCTGCGCACTGGCTTCGCGCCCGCCGTCGACTCCTTCGTCGGCTTCTTCCACGCCGTCGACTGGAAGGTATACACACGCACGCTCGGGCTCGGTGCTGGACATCCATCCAATCAATCCTGCATGCCACCCTCTTCTTCCTCCCCCCATCCGTCATGATTGATGGAATGGAATGGAATCTCTATATTGTGCTTATGTGTGCGTGGATCTAGATACGCTGCTATATATGCTTCATTAGTCGTCAATAGGTCATTAGATGCCATCAGACTGTTGGATTTGATTCCATGGTCTGAAACTTGCTTGCTGGAGGTTAACTGGTTAAGTGACGATGAATCAAATCAGCAAAGGGAATTATGGACCATGCCATTCCTTGTTCTAAAAGTAGTAATGCATAAAGGAGTAATCTTTATGTCCTTTGTTTGGCTTCCTTCTCATCAAATAATTCTGTATGCACCAACACTCATTTTGAGGAGCGCATCCCTCTTTCAACTCTTGGATCATTCAGGTAGCATGTTTGCTACTAATCCTTCAACCTACCCTAGGGGCTGCCATAAACTTTGGTGCACTGACAATCACACATAGATTAGCCCTTCTCGTTGAAATCGTGGTATAGTGGAGGCTATATATTGTTGATGGTACTAATTGTTATATAACATATGTGTAAAGCTTTAAGGTTTCTGCACAGAGGTTCTCCTGTTAACTTGCCTGAATCTCAACGCTAATCCACACCAGAGCTAGGACAATATAGCATGCACTCCTGCCAGCGCGAATCCACAGCAGAGCCCTGAGCTTGGCTTCCTAATTTTACTCATCCACTGAACTGATTAAGTGTCTGTGTTAGTGGTTATGTCTTGGGGTTGGATCAATCAGGTGTTGGGGAGGTGTAGACCATGTATCGGGCGTCAAACATGTTCATTTTTAGTGCATAAACATTGAACATTCCAGCAATATGTATCAGTGTCGCACACAGTGTTGGACACTGATACAACAATCAGCTGCCGTGTTAGTGTATCATAGGCCGTACACCTGAATTCCTAAGATAATGGGGGAAAAACAAAAACAAAGGATTCATCCTGGGGTGAGCAAGCCATAAAAGACACCAAATGCACTGTGACGCAGTCTATGCTTGACAGCTTGTGAAAATTCAATACTAGTACTTCAGCATGGCCATTATTGTTTTCTTAACCATTTCTTTTTTGTCTCGTCAACTTCACCTATTTGCTTTTGTGTTTACAGGAGCCTTGGCTAATCAGCATACTAACTTTCCATGCCATTCTGCTATTGGTTGCCATCATCTCGAGGAGGAATGTCAATTTCCAGCTCATCTTGTCAGCTCTAACATGTGAGTATCATTTTTTATTACCTTCTCCTTTTGACCCTTCAGAATCCCCATGCCATTATAATTTACAGAATGTGGAAGTCATTTATCACATTTGGTTATCATTTGCCCCTTTCCCATACTGTTACAACATACCAGTTTGAAACATTATGTTATACCAACATTGAGTACTGATATTTCTGTATAATGGCTAATAAATGGGACTTCCCTACACATGATGCCTGGCAGCTTGTCTTAAAATCATCAAAGTAAGCTTGGGTTTGTCCGTGCTTAAACCTGTCAAGAACATTTTCTTTGGATGTATTAACCTTGTGGAGCGAACCCATAACACTGGATGCTCCCAAATTTGCACTTGAAGGAATGATTAGCATCATAGCATGGTTCATGTAACTAATGGAGTATGTGTGGAAGACCTTTTTTGGCTTTGTTCCATTCACATTTATGTACTTTTTTACTTTTAATATGATTGTGTGTACCTTTATAACCTATTCTGCTTGATTTCGTGCAGTTTCTGGTGTATTCCTTGCTGAGAGATTAAACACATTCTTGGGGCAAAACTGGAAGAGCTTCTCCACCCAAAACTATTTTGATCCCCAAGGCCTCTTCATTTCAGTCATCTGGTCTGGGCCCCTCCTATTGATAACGATCCTTATTTTGGTAATCACATTTCTCTGATCCTTTTTGTTTCTGTTCTCCATCAGTTTCATTATCACTAACCGTTTATTTTAATGTTCATAGGTGAACACTCTTGTGACAGTCTGCATGCTAATCGTAAGGTGGAAAAGGGCAGAGCTTAGGCATCGTGCTCGGCAGGCTCGTAACAAGCAGGACTGATCTTAACCTGCATCAATGTAATTTGGTGGCTAGTAAGAAAGTCCCTTTCTTTGTACAATTGGTCTAACCGAGAATCATGATCCTGGAACGATGTTCATTTAGGTAGCAGAACATAACATTCAGAGATGGTCAGATTTTGCTCTTGTGGACCTTTTGGTGCGCAGATGACCATTCATTACCCTGTGATATGTAATATTATCACGTCACATGATTTATTTGAACGAGGACACTAGGCCTGTGATATTGATGTGCCCATTTGTTCGATGCTAAACCTCGGAACTGCTTGATAGTTATTTTTTCTAGTTGTGTCGGGTTGGGTGCAGCAACTTTCGATTGTTGATTACCTGAAGAATACTTAAGAACTGCTGAATTTTATCCATCGTCACACCCGTTGTAATCTGAAATCATCCCTCGAATTTCACTGCATCTTGTGTTGATATAAGCTAGTTTCTGATGTTTCTGGCCACTTCAAAAACCTTTCTGGTTGTACTATGAACTGAATGATGCATGACATTTGTTATCAGCTTCGAGTGGGAAAGGGGATGCTTCTTGTTTGGCAGCCAGTAAATGATATAGCGGTACAAGCCCAGCCGGTAACGAATGTACCTCAGGTTCGGCTGGGCTTGTACCTCGAACCTGAAGCTCTCAAGCCCAGCCGGCCTGTTTCAAGGTCGACGGCAGCACGCAGCAAATAGGATACCCAAGATGCTCAGGTCAATTTTCACCCCTATTTGGCCATATTTCGCCATTTTTGCATGCACGCTTTATATCGTGAATTTATTTGCTGGTCAGGTTTGTATATGGACTTAGAGCTTGCACTATTGTTGATTATAGTGTTTCTTACACCAATTACAAGTTTATATTTCTGAACTTCGTTATATTGGGCATATATAGAGGTTGCACCATTGCTTATTACACTTGACAAGTGAGGTACAATTTCTTTTAGACCACCTGCAACAAGTGGAGGTACATATATACACACTTGCAATGCAACTGCATGCATATAGTTCTTGTTAGTGGACCAATTACACTTGGAAACTGTTCCACATATTGTTGTTCGTAGGTTTCTTTCCTTGAGCTTTATTTTCCTTGTATTTCCGTGCAAAGCTTTTTGCTGGTTTTTATTAGAGAAGAAATAAAAAAACGCACGTTGTTATTAGAACGGTAGTGGACATCTGGGTTCTATAATACAGTGCTTGTAGCACAATTCTTTTCCACTGACGATATAATAAAAAAAAGTCAGTCTTTTAAAAAAAGGATTATATCCGAGAGTGAGGGGACGAACCGGGCATATCAGTGTGTATATGCATGCTGCAGTGCAGCGACAAAAACCTTCGAAAAGAAGCAAAACTCACTATGTGAAAAACAGTTTGTATCAACGGGACTTTTTTTTAAGGAGCGGCTGACATTGGAGCCGCTCCTACAGTGACATGCTAGGCTCCAGCACAGCAACCGTCCCTACAAATGGCACAGTAGGAGCGGCTGGTAATACGAGTCGACCCTACAAATATGTCGATTTGTAGGGGGCGGCTGGTATATAGAGGCGGCTATTACCAGCCACCCCGCTGTGTCCAACACAACCCAAGCTCGGCCCAAAGATCAAAATCAGCGGCCCAACTTAACCTTCACCTCACTCTCAACCGTTGATCAGATCGACGGACGAGATCCATCCCGCTGTGGATAAAATGTGGAGGCGTTGTTCTCCCCTTCGAAAACCCTAACCTGGTCCATGTCGTTGTGCCGCTGCGGCCATCCCACGTGTGCGGCGGCAGGAGCTGGAGGCCGTGGAGCTTGTCACGGCCGGCGGCAACATCTAGGCACCCGCATCCAGGCAGGAGTAGGAGGCGGTGGTGTTCGTATCTAGGCCCAGGCGGCAGCCAGGCGGAGGCGATGGCTCCCATGGCTGGCTAGCTGACCGCACATCAAGTAGAGGCGGCGGCTCCTACGGCTGGCTTGCCGCGTAGCCCGGCACCGACGGCACCACCCACTCCTCTACCGGCGCGGTCACCATCCCCTCCTCCACCGGTGCGGCCACCACCCCCTCCTTTCCTCACTCTCAGATCGGACACGGTCGAATCCTCCCCGAACCCTAGCTCCCTTCCCTGGCGCCCCAAGGCCCTCTTCGACGGCCGCGATGCCCCCCCCCACGGGCCTCCCCGACGCCCGCGCCACACCACGGGGCCTCCCCGCCACCCGCGCTGCCGCCCCCAGGGGCATCCCCGACGACCGCACCCCCAAGGGTAACCCCGCCACCTGCGCCGCCGGCCCCTCCTCGACGCCCGCGCCGCTAACCCTTGGGCCTCCCCTGACGCCAGCACCGCCGACGCTGCAGGGCCTCTCCGGCACCCATGCTGCTGCCACCGCGAGGTGCTCTCTCTCCCCAACCTCCCTCTCAGATCTGTTCCTATTTTCTTGTCTGCAGGGGATCTATGTTCACAGTTTCGTAAAACTGATGATGAGATGCAAGAACTAATAGGTCAGTTTGGTTTCCCTCAATTTTGCCTCTATACATTGTATAGAAATTCATGGTTCTCAATTGCAGCAGGCTTCAATATATAGCTTAAGTGGCACTATAACACATTCTTCAGTTTGACATGCTTCAATTTAGGATTACATCCACCGCCTTACATTCTAACTGCCAATATCCTGCATAGGCTTTCTTCATTTTATCACTAAAAAATTTCATTTTATTATTTCAGTGCACCAGTCAAATTATGATTGCCTCATCTTTGTGTTACGATCCTAACACTGAAACCCTGACATTAGCTTCCTGCCATGGCTGTGAATAACCCTAACACTGAAACCCTGACCAGCAAATGGATTACTTCTAAAATTAATCACTGGTTGAATGCAAATTCATGAAAATTGGTTCAATGCCGTATGATATTCTTACAGTATTATAAGTTCTTGTGAACAAAAGGATGTCTGTATTTTCTGTTAGTTCACAGTTGCCATATTCTTAGGTGATTTTATAGATTTATCATATTTAGTTGTTTTCTTGTAATGCTGGAGGCTGAGGCTTCTATTTGGTGGCTGGTTTTTACTTTGCAGATTGATATCCAGTATTTGGCAGTCACTTCAATTTCAATGTAAATTACCCTTAACTTCAACTCCTAGTATTTGGTTTCCATAAAGAAAGTAACCTTGGCTAGGACATGTTAGGAATTTTGCTTTGTATTTTTGCTTCTTGGGGTGTCAATTCTGAGCTCCGTCATTTCTGAAACAGTTTTCAGCCTTATAGGGCAATAGCTGTCATCACTAAATTAGTCTAATTAATATTCCACTTTACCTTCTCAGCTTTTAGTGACCAAATTTTCTCATGATTACTATTTTAGTAAAGAAAAAGAAACCTGGAAACTAATGATTGTTCTTTGCATTACCAAAACATGACATTATTTGTATACAGGATTACAGGTGTTTTTTCTTTTTTAATTCTGAATCATCTTTTCTTGTGTTATCTATATTTTGTTGATGCCAATTCTCTTTCCAGGGGCTACTAATAAATCTCACTCAAGAGTTGGGTGACGCTGTTCTTCGAAGACTGGTAAGATCTATTCTAACATATATGTGGTGTGGTACTGTTTTGTTGGGTTCATAGTGTGTTCTTCGAAGACTGGTAATTTAGTACACTGTTGGTTGAATAAGTTGTGAAACAAAAAGCATCTGTCCAGTAGTATATGCAGTATACGTGATCTGTGACAGTTCCTTTCCAAACTCATATTTTTTCTACCATTTTGCTATATACTAGTTTCAGGATTGCACATGCTGCTCCTTTCTACAATTTGCTTGCCTAACTAGTGATAGAATATGATGCAACGGTTAAATAAAGGGGTGCCCACTGCAGTACTACTTGATTTGCTGCTGTCTGCAATTTGATCTGCTGTTTTTTTGAACGCAATTTTTGATCTGCTGCTTGCCTGCTGCTATATGGTTTGCTCATTCAGTCATTTGTTGTTGCAGGATAACACTGCATCACCACGGGGGAGTCATTTAAGTGGCCACGGTCACTATATATGGATGGTTGCATAGATTTTCATGGTTCTATACAGGCCACCATAACTCCGTCTATGTATGCAGATTGTACATGTCAAAGGCATCTACCATGACCGAGATTCTGACTTAGGTAGAAATCCTCAGTACCAACACCGACCGAGATTCTGACTTGGGTCGATTATGTCTATTTAATGATGGATTGTATTTATTCTTGTGAATTGGACTTGTAATGGTAGTTTATATAATGCTCTTGTGCTTATGGTTAGATTTGAGTTATATATATCTCGGTCGAATTTGAATTGTAAATTTAAATATTTTTTGACGGAAAAATATACTATAGGGGTGGTTCTAGACTGAACCGCCCTTACAAATCGATTTGTAGGGACGGCTGATGACACCAGTCGTCTCTATAAATTGATTTGTAGAAACAGTCTAGGAACCGCTCCTATAAATGCATGATTTATAGAGACGGTATGGTAGGGGCGGCTGGTTGAGCCACCTCTAGGGAGCCTTACCAGCTGTCCCTACTAATCCTTTGTGTAGTAGTGACTGAAACAACCGGTGGCGATTGGTTGGACAGTGTTAGTGGGCCTATCTGGCCGGCCTGATGATGATAACAAGATTTAAATCTCTCAACACTCAACTGGCAACGATCACTTTGTTTAATTAGTTGTTAACTATTGGCGTCATGGTATGTTGGTAGGTCCAAAAGCTCTTTCCAAATCCGGATGAACTATACATCACTGATTCTCTGCGACTAGCTACGTCATATAATTCCTTGTCAAGCTAGCTTTGCTGAGAACAGCTGCGGCTTGCCACATTTTCATTCTCTTTAATTAAACTTTATTTGACGACTACTAGATAGCTAGAGACATACTCCCTCCGTCCAAAAAAAAAGAGTGTCGCTATGAGATTCGTGCTGGTCAAACTTTCTTAGGTTTAACTAGGTTTGTAGAAAATGTAGCAATATTTGCATCTCTAAATAAGTTTATTATGACAATATATTA